TCAGCCTCTAGCAATTCATAAAAATTAGCATCAGGTGTTCCAATTAGTATACAATTCCTGTAGCTTCTGCCCCAGATAAGCAAATGCTGGCTGTGACTTTCTAGATTTACCTGTCTCTTTAGATTGTGGGAATGTGGTTTTGTCTTGTAGTGTCAGTTCTCTATAGGTCCAAGAAAAGTCATTGACTTTCACTTTACTTTTATTGTAAGAATGGAAGTGATGTTTCTAAGCTCTTTACAAGTCTCAGCTGAAACCAGAAGTCTCCATAGTTTTTTATTTCTCTTTAACATGGAAGATGCTGGAGAATATAAAAACCATTATCACCAATAACAACCAAAAAAAAGAAAACCAGTTATTAATTATCTACTGTGCCTCAAACTATTCTAGGTTTTGGCTGTGTAATATTCTTGAGCACAACTGGGTTAAAAATCAGGCATTGCTTCATTATGACTTTTACTTCTTGGTTCTGTTTACCTGAGCAGGGCTCTAAAGTCATAACAGCAGTAACCTTTCATTGCATATAATTTAGCAGTAATTTTTAAACAGAACCTTCTTAGAGTTGGAGGGTAGGGCACAATGGGGATATTGTGGAGTGCCTTCACTTTTTACCAAGAGTATTTGGATTTTAAGCCCACACTTTCTTTAGTTAGCACACTGCTGATCCCTATTTCCATTTCCTCTCCTACTTTTGAGTCATTCCTAAAGGAGATACAGACCTACTAGTGTCAAAAAGTGAATTATATCAAGAGATAAGAAATAAAACATCTGCAAACATTTTATAAATACTTAAATCTGTGACACCAATCATTTATGTCTGCAGATTTTTTCCCATTAAATTATTTACTCATTTATTCAGTAAGCACTTCAAGCTCTGTTTTAGTTATGACAGTAATTAAAAAATACTTATCACTGTTGAAGATATCAAAATCTATTATTGAAGATGCACATATTAACAAATTAATATAACACATAATGGAAAACTGTATGTTAGTTAGATATATGTACCAATAGAGCAAATATTTATAAGAACCACATACAATAAACATTAATACCTAACTTTTATTTAAACCATATTGTCCACTTGTCTTGTTATACACGCTATAAACGTATATCACCCATAGTTATGTTTTTCAACTCTTAAAAATTTTTTTCACTTAATTATTTCCAATTTTATTTAAATGTATACTAAAACACAACCTTGGTGAGCACAGGTTAACGTTATTTCTGGGGGTCACATTGGTCCATGGGGGATGAATAGGAGATAGGCACCTTTATCTAATTTTGCTCATGGATGGTATCCCACATTGTAATTTATTATACTTTACCTTTTTAATTCTAATGTTAGAGAGAGAGCTGATACTCTTGGGTCTTATAATAAGAACTATTTTTTCCAGATGGCAACAATGTATATATAAGTAATGCGTATATATGAGCTTGTATATGAATATGTTGGAAGGAATCAAAATTGGAAGATGATGAGAAGAAACTGGAAGACATTTCTACGAATCAATTTTAACATCCTTGTTGATTCTGTGTTTTCAAATGTTGGGTCTTGTCATTTGACACTATTAATAAGAATATAAAAGAATAACTTGTAGCTAAGTATAGTTGCATATATTTCAAAACCATCTGGTTTTAATCTCAATAGACATCTGGAAATCTTAATTATATTTTAATAACTTGTTCTTAAAAGAAATTATTGTTTTACTCTGATTTTCAAAGCATGAAAGAATGTATTTTGTAAAAACCTATTATTCTTGTGTTTAGTGATATTATGTGAAAAATTATATGCATAAATATTATTAATATAGGTAGACCATTTGAAATCAGGTTCAGATTTTTGGTGTCAAGTATATGATCTTACTATTACATAAAAAGTATGAGCAGGGAGTTCCAGGGTTAGATTTTTTCTTTTAAAGGAAAATGTAAAACAAAATGAAATTATGTTGTTGGAGTGGTAGAAATAATTATGACAAAAATGTTAGGAAACTAATTGTAGTAAGTTCAAGAGTTATAATGAGAATCAGGATTATGGTTGTCATAGTTGAAGTAGAGTGAATGACACACTGTACTTCAAGTAATGTAAAAAATGAAGTGGAACTGAGATGATCTTAATGATGGCTATCATTTATTGAACATTTAAGTGTAGGGCATTGTATCAAAATATTTTCAAACATTTTAGTTGATAACAAAAATTATATAAATACTATTATTTTATTTTAGTAGATGTGAATATTGATTATAAACATGAAATGATTTGTTCATTATTGAACAGTGGAATGCCTGGAGTCAACCACAGTCAAACCTCGGAAACTCTCAAATAGTGGTTGGCACTGTTGCTACTGCACCATTTCAAGCCTACATAACAGCACTGCCATTAACCCAAGCATGTGGTAGATGAGAACTAGTATGTCTGGAAGTGATAATAATAAGTTTCATCCAGCGCTTCTTTATGTTTGAGAAGCCTATGAAATATCTAATAAGATTTTTTAAAATAAAAAGTTAGAAATCCTATCTGTAATGCATATTAGTCTGCACTCAATTGCTTAAGTAGGAAATATGTCATTATAATGCAGAATTGGTTTGACTTATAAGCAGATTTCCCTAAAAGAGTAATGTTTTCCATCACAAAGAAAGTACAACGTGCGCTAACACAACTAAACATAGTACTGTACATGATGTCCACTCATTCTGTTCTCCTTTGGCCCACATGATCTTTCTTAGAGTGTTTATGGTAAGCGTTCTCTAGTATGTTTGTAAATTTTGATGTCTCCATAATTCAACAAACTCAGCCTTTTCTTATACTACCATAAAATAGCCTCTACCATTTTTAAGGCCAAATGTTACACTTACTGGAATAATTCTCTACTGGGAATTTTACATTTTTTTAAAACTTCTAGCTATTTTTATTGTTTTGTTAGTGATCTGGTACAAAGTAACATAGCTTTTTAGTAGTCCACATCATTCACAGTTTCACCTTAAGTCCTGTTATTTTTAGTGCATGATTTTACAGATTACGAAGTGTGTTCAGTAACCCATATATTGTGTTATAGCAGAAACACCTGAGTGAATTTGAAACATAAGAGAAATGGCAAGAGTGATACACAAATTTGGGAGGAATCATCATATAAAAGGAAGTTGAAGCAATGGAAGTAAATCCTTCTTGAAGAATTTACTTCCATTGTTTCAATCAGAAGAGAAAAGATGAGATGATAGAACTCTGGAGAGACATTTGCTAAGAGATTGAAGGAAGCAGGAATCAATGAGAGAATTGGCTCTTCTTGGTTCCTTTGATCCTTGTATTATATATATTCATTTATTCAAAGAAATATTTACGGGGCAAAGCCCTTGAGAAAGAAGATGATGAAAATAGTCATTTATTTTATGCTTTTAAATTTTAAAATAAGCACATATTACATAATTGCTATCATTAAATCAGATTGCCCTGAATTTTCCATTAGCCTCTTATGAAATTTCCCACTCAAATGGGAGGGGAAGCTCTACCTTTGGCTTCCTATAGAACCTGAAAGTATGGTTGGTTCCAAGTTGGACTGCGTTTCATTGGTTCCAAGGGCAGATACTGGGATACTCTGCTTGCCTGATTCATTTTCCAGTCTGCATTTATCAGGTATAAACACCTTAAATCGAGTCATCATTCCTCTGTGCATTAGCCAAGAGATACAACAAAGCAGTAGGAACTAATACATTCTGTCCCTCTCTTGATTTTCTTTTGGGAAACACCAAGTTTTTAAAGCAAATATGTAAATATCTGTATGCATTGATTGAGTTGATAAGATAGTGCTGTCTGGCAACCACTGTATTTATTTGCATTTATTTTTAGTATTTTTAAATACCTCTTGACAGTGTTTCCAACCATGACCAATGTGCTAGAATAGAGAATCTATTTGTCTCAGTCAGGCTGGTCTCTTTACATAAATATTTCAGGATATGTGGTTTGCATTTTTAGTCAATAGGATATATCCTTTAAATTTAAACTAAGAAATATTGGAGAATTTTGGGTAATAGATTCAAATTTATAAAGTGAATTTATGATAAATATAGTGAATTTGAACTTTTCTGATTTTAAATTTATGGTGTCAATTTGGTCACTTAAAGATATTTTTATTCTCAAAAAGCAACCCCCTCTCAATACCTATATGTAATGACTATAATCCAATTCTCAATTATGACATTGAAAATGATTTTAGTCTTATTAATAAGATAATTATTAATAGTGTAAGAAAAATAGCTTAGTCAAACTAAATATGTACACACACATATATACACACACGCACACACATACACATACACACACACACACACACAAAGAGAGAGAGAGAGAGAGAGAGAGAGAGAGAGATGGAGAGATTTACCTATTTGATATAGTTATTAGCTGTACCTTATGAAATAGTGCAACTATGAACTTAGGTTGAAAAATTACATTGATTATACACTGCCCAAAATAGTATTTTACCATTCCTGACACGTTGAGAATATTATACACTTGATTTATCTACAAAGCTCAACTTTTGTACTGATTATTATTGGTAATAGTTTTTGTTTTAGCACCATCTGTACCAATATATTGATAAGAAGCAAGTTAAATCTATGGCGTTCTATTTAGTTCGAAATTGGTCTACTTGGTGAGTGATTCTGTGTACATTCACACATCAGTTAATATAATTTAAGGTTACTAGCCTTATTCAAATAGACAATTCTACAAGAAAGGCTTGTTGATATGGTTATGTCAAGTGTCACCTATGTGAAATATGTTATTTAAAAAAGTGAAATAAAGAAAATATTGATTTTTTAATCTATAACCAAATACGTTTCCTTTATATATGCCAAACTGTAATACGGAAAACAACCGGCCCATTTCATATTATGCTTAATAAAAATTAATGGAACCTGCCCCTAATTTAACAACTATAATAAATAACTCTTTTTTATGTTCTGTATCAGTTTACCTTCTAATTGGATTTCTAAAACTCAAGGATAACAATTTGCTGAAACATTGAAGGCTCTGTAATCTGAGTTCTTAACAATTAGATTTGAAGAAGGCTTTCTGGAGAATTAAAGGTCTTTTCATTGAAGAGAAAAGAGGCTGGAAGTGTTTATTATCCCTTTTACAGAAAGAGCAAGGCAGTCTTTCAAATGATTAATTTGGCAGTGTAAGCTAAACAAATCTTCACCAACAGATTGTAAAGCAGAAATAATTCTATTTAATTATAAGGAGAAAAATAGTCCCATTGGATAGTTTCATTATTAATAGAATGGGATTAGAGTCAAATTGTGTTAAAAACATGAAATAAATATATGTTTAATATTATACATACATGTAAATAAAGGTAGAGTATTAGATTAGTGATAGTAATGCAGAATTGGAATGCTCATCCTTTTTAAAAATATTTATACCATCTATGGAATTTTTATGTTATACAATTAATTATGTGGGTTATAGAGATTAAATATTATGTAAAAGTGTGTTTGCATGAAGCTTTGTACAATGTATCAAAAAGATATGGAAAAACAAAAATAGAGAAATCATGTCCCTTGGATACCTGAGCCGATTTGCTTAAATATCTTGAATGCCAGTAGTTAAAGGAAAATGTTAGCTTTATAACAGTTGTAGGAATACCTACTGGAGTGATTTGATTTGGAGCATAATGGTGTCATTCACACTTCCTCATTTTTTTCTTTCACCTGCTCATGTGGTGAGCAGATGTGAGTAAAATTATACCTTTAGACATTATTCAAAAAGATATTTGTGTCTGAAACTATATTAAACACAGCATGCAGATTTCTTCAGTATAACACCACAGTTTGACACACAGTAGCTCTTTCAGTACCTTTCAGGTAACATTTTTTGCAGTTACATTTATCGTAATATGCAGCTAATGTCAAAATGGGTTTGAATATTTAATTGTTGAGTTAAATGATTTTAAAATATCATAATGTTTATCAGAAAATATAAGTAAAAGTTCTGTAGAATATTTATAAGCATTCAAATGTATCAATATGGTAAAATGTAAATTTTTCATATAAAATGTAAATTTTTCATATAAAATGTTAAGCTTAGCATCATTTAATTTCATTGTTTTTTGTTTATTAACTTTATGTATACAGTTTTTAACTGAACAGAATACTAGGTAACAATTTTATGGAAAACAAATTGAAAGATATTTTCACTTGTCACAATGCTTTCACTTTTATGTCCAAAATATTTCTATTTTTATATACTTATCATCAACCTACATACCTAAAAATGTACATTTTCATATGTAGAAAACTATTCTATATTCAAGTCACTTATTTTTTTATGTCATATATTTCATTAGTGAGTTTAACCTTAGGAATATAATTATAGAAGGACTATGGACTTTTTATTTTTATTAAACTTTATTCTGGGCTGAGTGCAAATGGCTCAAACCTGTAATCCCGGCACTTTGGGAGGCTTAAGTGGGCACATAGTGAGATTCCATTTTAAAAATCAAACAAACAAAAAAGCCAGCCATGGTGGTGCATGCCTGTGGTTCTAGCTACTAGGGAGCCTGGGGTAGAAAGATTTCTTGAGCCTGAGAGGTCGAGACTACAGTAAGCACTGATTGTACCACTACCCTTTAGCCTGGGTGAGACCTTGTCTCAAAAAACAGATTATTATGACATTGAGTCTCTTTATTGTGTGAAATTTCATATGATATTCAGATGCAAACAAACAAAATTTTTGTATTTTTTTTCTTGTCAGTGATATTTAAATGTGCAAGTGCTCAAGGTATTTGTATTAGTTACATAGCTCTTCTCAAAAGCATTACCCCCAGGGAACCTATTTAATAAATTTGGACTGGTTTTGGTGATGACAATGAATAGGGCCATTATGGCATCTAAGGTTGGATGGGCCAGGTTTGTAAATTTTCCTAAACTGCTTGGGATTTAAGGAAGATTAAACCTCACCTCATGATTTTCAAATTGCTACTGTAATATTTATGTAGGTAAATCTCAATTATATAAGACTAAAACCTTTTATTCTTTTCCATTTAAGTGCAAAATATTATTACACAGTTTGACACAGAAATTTCCAGAAATACAAGTACATGTAAAATGAAGCAAAGACTGTCCTTTTCTTGTTTGGATCTTTACCATGGTTTACCATTTTAGAAATTCCATCTATAAAGACAGTGACACTCATGACATTTGCCTATCTATACAACTACATCAGTTTGAATTGATAATGCTTGTATTTATGGCAATATGATGTTCAGGCATATGACTGGTTTTTTTTTTTTAATGTTTTCAAGCTTAATTATCCCAAATCAGTAAAACTTTGAAATATGTTATTTTAATTTTATTTTCTTTTAGTATTAGAGTTATATTTTTCTGAAATTTTATGTTTAGGTATATTATCTAGGAATTATATAAGAGAATATAAATTTTTGTTACACAAAGTAGGTGTTACTATTGAAAGTATTCTGAATAATGTCAGAAAATTATCATGTATTTCACATGTAATACCTTTTCTGTAAACTTTTTGAATTCAGGTAAAATATACATATAATAATATGCACACATCTTAAGCATATAGTGTGATAAATTTTATATATGTACACATCTATGTAATCAACAGCTTCACTGACAATATTTCCAGCATCTCAGACAATATATGCTTTTAAGAGGTAATCTGTTATCTTAATTATTAATTACATCACCAAAACTTTAGTATGTCCTCTTCTTAGAAATGAACTCATATTATATATATATCTGTGTATATATGTAGATATACACAGATATATATACATATACACACATATACATAAATATAAATTTATATATATTTTATATGTATAATATATATTTAATATGCATATATTTTATACATATATGTATATATTTTATACATATATGTATATATGATGCATGATATATGCATATATTTTTCATTAAAATATTGAAAAATATTTGGATTATTTTTAGATTTGGACTATTAGTAATGAACACTCTTGTATATATACTTTGGCAGGCATATGCATTCATTTATATTTTTTATAAACCTCAGAATGCACTTGTCTTTTCACAGTATATGTATATGTTCAGATTTAGTAGATATTGCCAGTTTTACAAAGTGTTCATACCATGTTATATTATCATCAGGAATATATGAACATTCTATTTGCTTCACATGCTTATCAACAATTGGCATTTTCATTCTTTTACGTTTTATGCCTCCTGTTTGGAATGTAATGGTATATCATAATAATTTTTAATATTTATTTTCTTGATGATAATAAATGGTGAGCACATGTTTATAGTTTGAATGGACATCTGGTTCTCCCCTTTTCTGAAGTTTCTGTTTGAATTGTTTGCCCAGTTTTTTAAGTGGGTTGTCTTTTATTTTTCTTTTATGGGTGGAGGGGGAGGTGAGTTATCTGTTACCTAAAGCATTTATCCTTTGTGTTACAAATAATCCAATTATACACTTTTACTTATTTTTAAAATTTACAACAAAATAATTTTTGACTGTAGTTACCCTGCTATGCTAGAAAACAATAGGTCTTATTTATTCTTCTCAACCATCTTTTTGTGTCCATTAACCATCCCCACTTCCCCACAAACCCTCCTTACCCTTCACAGCCTCTGGTAATCATCCTTCTACTCTCTATCTTCAGGAATCTAATTATCTTAATTTTTAGCTCCACATGTGAGAACCTGTAATGTTTGTCTTTCTGTGCCTGGCTTATTTCACTTAACATAATGACCTTCAGTTCCATCCATGTTTTTGCAAATGACAGGATCTCATTCCTTTTTATGGCCAAATAGTACTCCATAATATATATGTGCCACATTTTCTTCATCCATTCATCTGCTGTTGTTGAATTCAGTTGAGGATTTTTGCATCAATATTTGTAAGAGATATTGGCCTGCAGTTTTCCTTTTTTAATGTGTCTTCATCTAGTTTTGTATCAGGGTATACCAGTCTGGGAGAATTAGTTTTGAGGTATTGATTCCTCCTATGTGTTTTGGAATAGTTTGAGTAGGATTGGTATTAGTTTTTCTTTAAATGTTGGGTAGAATTCATCAGTGAAGGCATTGGGTCCTAGGCTTGTCTTCACTGGGAGGCTTTTAATTGTAGCTTTGATCTTGTTACTTCTATTGGTCTGTTCAGGTTTTGGATTTCTTCATGGTCAATATTGTTGGGTTGTATGTGTATAGGAATTTATTTATTTCTTCTAGAGTTTTCAGTGTATTTGCACATGGTTCCTCACAGTAGCCACTAATGATCCTTTGAATTTTTGCAGTATTAGTTTTAATGTCTCCTATTTTATTTCTAATTTTATTTATTTGGGTTTTTCTCTTATTTTTTTTTTCTTTGACTAAAGGTTTGTCAATTTTATCTTTTCAAAACACCAACTTTCTATTTCCTGGATCATTTGTATTGACTTTTTTTCTTTGAAATTCATTTATTTCTATTCTGATCTTTATTATTTCTTTTTTCCACTTATTTTCAGTTTGGTTTGCTCTTGCTTTTCTAGGTCTTTAGGATGCATTGTTAGGTTGTTTTTGGGAAGACTTTCTTTTTTTGGCATGTGTACTTATAGCTATAAACTTCCCTCTTAGTGCTGCTTTTGCTGCATCCCATAGGTCCAGCTATGTAGTGTTTCCATTATCATTTGTTTCCAAAAATTTTTCAGTGTTCTTCTTAATTTCCTCATTGACCCACTGGTCATTTGGGGGCACATTATTTAATTTCCATGTGTTTCTATGGTTTCCCAAATTTATTCTGTTACTGATTTATGTTTTTTTTTCCATTGTGGTCAGAGAAGATGCTTGATATTATTTAAATGTTTTTTAACGTTTCATCTCTTCTTTTTTGATCTCATATATACCCTATTCTTGAGAATGATCCATGTACTAGGGAGGAAAGTCTGTACTCTGCACCCTTGGATGAAACATTCCGTAAATATTTACTCGATCCATTTGTTTAGAGTGCAGATTAATTTGTTGTTTCTTTATT